TTTTTGTGCATGTGAAAACCCGTGAGCTCACCAACTCTTTGTAGTTGACCTTGTTTTTATTCCATGTTTTTCAGGTTCTGAGTAAGTGGTTGGTTTTTAAAGGAGCATACCTGGGCCAAGATCGATTAAGTCAAATTTTTGATGTAATTATGAACGTTGTGTAAAATTCTAACTCTTGTTATGTCGATGAACCGTTTTGTTTTGAAACAACTTGTAATGGTGTTATTTATAAACTGTTGCTATGACCCACTTGTCTGTTAGCATCTCGTATTTCCGCTTTAGCGGGGTGTGACAGTAAGCCATTATTTGTTTTTCAGATTAACATTTTTTATGACTATTGCTTACACTTTATCTTCATCATTAAAGACATCCCAGGTGTGCTACAACCAGCATGGCCCGAAGGCATCCTACCGTATTCAATTTCAAGAGAGGTTGTTGTTAATTAAAAAGACCGTGATGAAGGTGATACTACTATTGGTAATGAAGAACATCATGAAAGTGATTGTTGTTAGACACCAAGAAGGATTACAAGAAAGTCAAATGGTTATATCTCCACCATAAATTAATGATGCAAATTAAGAATAGTTCATATCATGACCTTAACATAGATCAAACATTACTTTGGTATATTTTAGCGCAACTTTTGGTATATTTTGGCAGACTTTTGGTATATTTGGCGCAATTGTTGGTATTTTTTTTGCACAAATTTTGATATATTTGGCGCAATTGTTGGTATTTTTTGGTGCAATTTTTGATATATTTGGTGCAATTGTTAGTATTTTCTTTGCGCAACTTTTGTTATATATTTTGGTTCAACTTTTGGTATATATTTAACTTTTGGTAAAATTATATCCAAAATTTGTATGCAGATTATTATGCTTTGGATACAACTTTCGTATGTTTTTTGTGAAAAGTAATGAGAATGGTATATTTGTTTTTTGTATAAATGTAAGTACTTTTATCGTTCAAAAAATGTTTAAGGACTTGATCGTTCAAAATATGAAAGTCCATTGGTTTTTTCGAACTTTTTCCACTAACAAAATGTATTTAACAGATTTTGGAAAGTCGAAGGACTTATTTAACAGGTTTTGTAATGTCCAATAACTTATTTAAGAGGTTTTAGAATGTCCAATGATTTATTTGTTCTAAAAAATTGTCCAAGAATTTAATTGTTCCAAACAGTAAAATCCATTAGGCTTTTTTTGGACTTTTCCTTTTTTCGATGTATGTGATGGTAGAACATTGAATTGTTAAAAAAAAGTAACCTTATATTTTTATGGGTGATTTTGATTTATGTCTCAACTTTTTGTTATTTTTTCAATTGATCATATTGAAAGATATTATTATATTTAATGTTATATAGTAGATGCTTAAGTCATTATTTTTACGTAAACCAAATTGTATCATTATGAATATTGAATCGTAACATAATCTATTTATTAAATATCGAAATTATGAAAATAATCAATTAAATGTTCACATTTTTAACATAAAGTATGGAACACAAGTATTCTCTTTCTCCTAAAATAAATATTCAAAATTTTAGTTTAGTTTATTAGAAAAAAGATAAATGTACATTTTTAAAAGTCAATCTTTTTTACCATTTTCTCTTAGTGATGAGATGTCAAAAGAAATAAGTGTTATTTTTAAAAATAAATTTCTATTTTTTTATCTTACTTTTAACTAGAAGCGTACTCGTGTAATGCAGAGAGATACATCGTGATTTTAATATTTCATTTTATTCTTTATCTCAGTCGATGTTATAATATGGCTCTATGTGATTTTAAAAAATCGATGATGTTTTTATTTTTGAATAAAATATATGTTTGAAAATATCATAAAAATTTGACAAAAATATATCGATATTAATATCAAATTAACTATTTGAAATTTCTCATTTTTTTGTGTAATTTTTTAATTCATTTTTTTATAATTTAAATTTATATAC